TACATAACAAGAGAAATAACCAAGGCGTAAATAGTATACGTATTTTATTCCTTGTTATTTCCCCTAGAACATGATTGCAACAGGAGTGTGGCGAGGTGCATAAAACCACGGGGACAGACCTATTGAGACATCAGTCATACATAGTCTTGTACCAGCCTGTCTTTAATTTTAAAACAAAAAGCATAAACAATTTAAAACACAATTTCTGGTTCAAATCAAAGTGGAGTTTTTGTTTTGTTTTGTTTCCTGAAATAGTTCCTCACAGGCCAGAGTCAACGAAGTCACTGCGACCCACAAGTTACACGTAAAAAAAACAATGTTCCTGAATCATCCCGATTTAGTACATAGTAAAATGTGACGCCTAGTGGTGAAGTCAGGCGCTCGTCAAAATACTGAAGAGGAAGAAACAGGTATTTTTCAGCCAGTTTGGACATTTTTCTGGAACTTTTGCTTTTTGGCTCAACACCTTCTATGTCCGTTAAAAAACACATTTCTGTTTAGATTATACCGGAAAACACCAATTAAAGGCACAAAAATTGCAGATTTTTAGTTTCCATGGAATCTCAAGTTTTAGAAGTCACTTAACTTTGGCAGCCATTTTATCGATAATTTTACCTCTGAAAAAAGGCAACCCCCATCTCCTTCAATGGCAAATATTTTATTATTTCAGCATCCAAAGCAAGGCAAATGAACAAGCTTTCAGCTGATACCAATGCCCAAAAATTGATGAGCACCTCATTCCACGCGTCATGACACAAATGTTAAACACATTCTTTACACAAGTGGAACACTTTATTGAGCAAACAAGAAAAACTAAGTTTCAGACAGCAAGACTCCAAAATTTCATTCAACGTCATGGCATGTAAAAAGAAGAAATCGTTAAAAAATAAATTTTTTGTACCCCAAAAAAATAAAAGAAAGAAAAAACACCATAAAAACCATAGAGGAAGGACATGGTTTGCTTCTATACTGAATCCTTGAGATCTTTTCTCTTACAATATATTAAACCTCCCCTAAACCGTCTAGTGCCCATAGGTTTATATCTCTAAAAGCAGAACTGTGAATACCTTTGAATCAGACTTGTACCAAACTTTAGATGAAGTTGTAGTATTGCTGTTTTGTCAATGTTGTTTAGTTTAAATTTTACTTTGTTGTAAAGTGAACCAAGATATCAAAGTTTTGACTGATTTCAAAAAGGCCCTTTCAAAAATCTAATATATATTGCCCTTATAAGAACAGTGTAGAGTAGAGTGCTAAAATTTTCTTGTCAATTCATGCAATTCATCATGTGGGCAGGGGGAGCGTCAAACGAGGACAAGGCAGCATTTTGTCTTCTCCAAGCAGGCCAGTGATTCGCAGAAACAAGACAAACTTCCTAATGACATACAAAAAGAATCCAGACACCAAATCTTACAAAGAAACCATTGAAGACCTCAAGGGAGAAAACAGCATTAGTCACAGAAAAGATATTGAGAACTACTACCTTTCTCTCCCATGTTCATTTGGGAAAAAAAAAGAACATGTTTTTATACCAAAACGAACAGAATTTTAATCATTTACGAGACGGGCCTCCAACCCTGCCTGTCACGGCCAGCCCGGACTGAGAGAGACAATATCCCAGTAGAAAGACTGACAGATTGAGATACTCTAAAAAATATTCTCCCCACTCGGGAATTGACCTCAGGTCTCCTGCTTGCCACAAGCAAAGCACCTAGCCACTACACCACAAACACTGGTGGGTGTTCATTTTAGCCTACAGTTGTTCTTTCCATGTACATGTCGTCATGTACGAATGTTTCTAATTTGTCGCCAACAGGACGTGATAAAAGCTATTTTTGATGAAAGTAAAAGTAGTACTGAAGGACAAAACCATTTTTGATAAAAGAAAAAGTAGTACTGATGGACAAATTTGAACAAGCAAAACAATGGATCAAAACAGACCCCCAAAAAACAAAAATCGTGAAAATTGTGAATGTCATTTTATCCCTGCAACTTTTCCTTCGGAAACCCCTGTAGTATTATTTAGTAAACAATGGCATTCAATCCAGAACTAAATTGCCAATGAAATCTATGATACTCCGTACATATATATATATATATATATATATATATATATATATATATATATATATAATCCACATTAAAAATTTATTTAATTTGATATATAATAATAATATAATCTATTATCATCATAACAAAACAAGATCCGAAAAGTTGTGGCTAGTGAGAAGAGATTTGGCTGTAATTGTAACTAATGTATTTTCCCAGTCCAGGTACTTTCCCCTGACACGCACAGTTGCTCCCAGGTTTCTCTTTCCTTTTCTTTTCTATCTTCGCCTGACGGTACATACTATATTGTCCAAATTGTCAAATGTGAGGCAGCGTGGTGAAATCAGGCTCACGTCAAAATAATCAAAGTGAAGAAACTTACTTTTTTCCGCAGGCTTGTGAATTTTTATCAAATTTTTGTTTTTTGGCTCAACGCCTTTCAGGCCCACTAATTCCTGTGTGGAATTTTACTGAAAAGCCTTGATTAAGGGCACAAAAATGAAAATGTTCAGTTACCACGGACTCTTAAACTAAGGAAATAACTAATCTTTGGTGGCCATTTTCTCACTAATTTTACCTCTGAAAACAGGTGACCCCCACCTCCTCCTTTTGCAAATATCTTGACTTGTATTCAAGATAAATGGATATTTTTTTCCTCCAAATAAAGACAAGTGAACAAGCTTTAAGACAATACCAATAAATCTACATGCCCATAAATTGACGAGAGCCTGATTCCACCACGCTGCCTCACAAATTGTCGTTTACTTTTTCATGCAGCATGGGCTGCGTCCCCAGGATCACCCTCCCACATCTCAGGAGTAGTAACAACTAATTTATTTCATAAGCATTACTTTTTAGGTTTTCAAACTGACACACTTCAACATTCCAACCATTCCGCCAAGTTTAGTCGCACGCACCTGTCCAAGACGAAGAATAATCACAGTCAAGGAGAAAAGTAGTCATCGTAGACAGGTACCTTCTTGCACAGTGTCATTAGAATATAGAGAGAGAAAAATCACACAACGGGGAAAGTGGGAAATGGTCATTTCTATATAGAGTTGACTGCCTTGGACATAAGATCAGTCAGAGCATGTTAGATCGTCCGGTATAAAAACATTCTGTTCAAATGTTCAATTAAGCCTGATTAAACCAACCTAAACCAGAGCTGCTGTTTAGCCTTCTTTATACAGTGGAAACCTGATATAACAGGGATGGTGGGAGTAGAGAAAAAGTGTGGGAGTAGAGAAAAAGTCCTGTTGTATCCGATCCCTGTTAAAGCGCGTTGGAGTTGCCACGTTCGGGCTAGGCCCCAGGTCGAGGTCTGCAGCACACCGCAGCCCTCTCTCGCTTCACCCGCTGCGTGTGCTTGCTGCGGCATGACTTGCGTGGGCTTGCTCCATCACTGCGTTACTCTCTCTCTCTCTTACACATTGTTAACGAACCTTTGTCCCTGCTATAACCGGTTGGGTTCCGATGAGGTCTGTTATTGCCGATAACTTTGAATAGAGACAAAGAGTAGGAAAAAGCAGGGATTAAAAAAAACCCTGTTATTACCGGATCCCTGTTATTACCGGGCCTGTTATATATGGTTTCCACTGTACACATGTCGAAAGACAGCCCATATAATTTCATTGTGTAAAAGCCTCAATTCTCAAAAACTGAGAAAAATGAGCAGTTTAAAATCCTCCCTTACAAAAGAAGTGGCAACAAAGGTTGTAATAATATTACTAATATCCCTTACCAAGCCACACTCTCAAAACTTGACCACTATTGTAACTCGCTGTTAGTTGGGCTGCCTCAAAATAAGATTCAAAAGATCCAGATAATCCAAAACAAAACAGCAAGATTGATCGTGAAGAAAAGCAAACAAAGAGCATAATGCGTAACACCCATCAGATTGATTGCACTATGCGTCATTTTCAAAATTTTAAGTTTTTGTTTCATTTAATTTTTTCTCGATTTTGCATGTGTCAACCTTATCTATTTTACTGCATTGCTCTATTAAGCATCTCACCGACAGCAAAATGGGGGGAAAAAATGCAGTTTATTATTTATTATTGCTCTCAGAGCTTCGGGGAAGGAAAAATACGGACAAACAGGAAAAAAGGGAACTTTTCAAAGAGCCACATAAGAGTTGAAAACTAATCAGCAAAAATTGGAAAGTCAATATCGCCTAGCCGCGGTAAGTATACGGAGCCACGTGACAGACAGTTGATCACGTGTTTCCCCGCCCAGTCTGCCTCCTGACAGCGGCGACTGCAGTAGCTGGCAACCATACAGCGAGGACACTGCAAGAAGCGCCAGGAAGAACCTCCATTACTGCTAACCTGCGGGATGTCACTGTCACTCTCGTATTCCTGGCCCGACTCTGGCGTGATAATGTGGGACAAATGGGGCAGACCTGCTTTAGGAAATTTCTTACACCTCCAACAGATATAGCGGATCTGCGGGTCTATTCCTTGAAAAGAAACTTGGTGCTTGTCAAACATATATCGTACCATAGCGAAATAAAAGTTGTAGGACTGCTCTCGATTAAAACTCTGAGCCAAACCATAGTCGGGCAGCTCAGCATAAAACGCAATCCTGTTTTTCCGAAGATAATTCCTCGTCTCTTTAGTTTCATATATAGTTTCGCCTGTTGGGATAGGAGGTGGGTCGCTTGTTTTAAACAAAGAAATCTTATAGCATCTGGGGTACGTTCTTCGTAAATATTCCACACTACTTTTGCAAATGTCTCTCAAAAAAGAGTTGTCTATGTAGTACTGTTTGATTTCTAGCCACATGTGAGGAATATCGACACCATTCAGATCTCTGTAGCCATGCACAACGCTGTTCTGAACATTCAGAGCGTTGAGGCATCGGTGGAGCACTGTGACAACAAAGCCGGCGTTATCCGAAATTTCAAATTCTCTTTGCTGCTCGAGGCTATACTCGAGCAAATCATTGATAGCCTCGTGATTTTCCTCCGTTTCCGGGTAGCGGTAAGGAAGGGTGCTCAGGTCGACTTCAGACGGAGCCCAGCGGTTTCCTCCATTGATTGGTGAGGAAGGGCGGGGCTGGGCGGTTGGAGGGTGTTCGCGATGTGCACAAACATGGAAGTGCGTCTCCGTAGTGTGCTGCATAACCTTCTGCATCGTCTGCGTCGTGACCTTGACCTTGTGCCGAACACTGGCCATGTTGAGCTGTGTGTCCCTGTTGACTTCTCTCTTCAGGCAGGAGTCAATCAATTTAAAGTAGAGTCTGGAAAAGACAGAAAGCTTTGTTATAATAATGATAATCGCATAAACAGTGGGGTCCGCTCAAACTGAAGTCTGCAGGTATACCAGACTTTCTTCAGGTTAGCCATGGGTTTTTTGGGTTGTTTTTTTCTTTTGTAAGTGTTTTACGGTGCTCACAACTGCATAAGGTCATATGAGCGTGTGGCGAGACACACGTAAGTTGTGTTTTACTTTCGTATCCATACGACATGGGGAACTCTGTGCCACCACTTTCAAAGAAGAAATTTACTCGTTAATCCGATACGTACGGTTTGCATAGCAGTCGGTCATAATAATCTTTTGAGAGATACTGACAGTTTCAAAGTGATCTTCGTACTAGAAGTATTCTAAAATGTGAAGAATACAACCCCGGGGGTACTAAATGACCCCAGGGCGTACTGATAGGGTTAAACATTTTCAGTTTGGTAGGAAATTTTGGATATTGAGCGGGTGGTGGTTGAAGCCTGAGGGCCTGAAATCTAAAATCTCCCTCATGGATCACATTAAATAATCACTTGACCATCAATGAAGAAACATTTTTCTCATTTTTGGTCATCCATTTAACTGGGCTACAGAGAATGGTAGTGTAGTACATCAATACAATGCTGAATATTTCGCTACATTGGAATTAGAAAGACAAAGTTCTATATCTAACAATTTTGGTCGTTTTGAGTTACTATGAATGTTCTTCCTCAATCTGCTCTATCAAAATTATAAGATTATTCAGGGTCATTACCAAGAAGTTCAAAGAATTGCATTTAAAGAAGCTTGAAATGTGAAACTCAAGATTTTTTTACATCCAATTTCTAAAACTAGGTAGGCCTACTGAGCAGATAAATTTAGAACTTGGTAGTTTACGGTAGCGATTTAACCTCCTAAGATTTGAACAGTTTTTTTCAATGGTACTACTTAAGAATGTGGGTTCTGTTTGGGGATACTAGTTTTGACCCCATCGACGACTACTTTTGGTTCTAAACGATTACTTTTTGACGCGTGTGCCACTATGGAGAGATACCCTTTCAAACCTAATAGCAAAAGATCAAATTATGGTCAAATTCAGGGGAGCATGCCCCCCTGAACCCTCCCCCCCATGTTTTTGTTAGGTCAGGGGGTAAACCCCTCTGAAATCCCCCTTGCCTGGTTTAAAACAAGTGAAATTTTACCGCTCATTTTGTAGGCTACTGATAAAACTTCGATACCGAATATAAATCAGTATTGATATATCCGGTACTCTGTGTGGATGATGTCAAGTCTAAACAGACGGGACCCACATTCTTAAGTAGTATCAAAAATATGATTTCAAAAACATAAAAATAATAAAATCTAGATATAGAGTAGGAGCACAATCATGTGCCCGTCATACTCATGCGTCAGGGGCACAGTAAACAGTATACACACTGCCCCTTTTAAACCTTTTGAAGCTTCACACAAGAAGATTCTTTCGTTTTGAGGTCAATTTCGTTTCAAAAGTGAAACTACAGCCTTTGTTTTGGAAAAGGAGTTCAGACAAGTTCTCACATGTGTGATCAAACTGTGGTTTTCTATCTTGGTAACCGTGACGACATCTTTCACTTGGTGCACCACCTGAGAAGTAAAACACTGCTTTTAATACTCTTAATGCATGCCATAAAGGTTTCTGTTATCAAAAGTTATGTTATTTTGGTTCATTAATAAAATTGTAATTGGGGGGTCGTCAGATCTAACGCATGAAAATTCATGATGCTGGTATAAAAATGTAGTGCCCTACCTAATGTAGCGTGTGAACATAAATTGTATATATTCTTATCAATCTGTGACCTGGAAAGCACTTGCCATGCTCTACCCTCTTTCAACTTCAACCTCATCCTCATCAGCTGATTCAAGGCCCCTCCCATTTCTGACTAGCCCTAGAGTCTAGTTTGTAGTCCCATGTCCGTAGAATGTTTAAATTAAGCTCTTGTTTATTCTCAAAATCTAACAAATCATCATGATGGTTCTTTTATCATTTCTTTCACAATCCATAGAATCTATACGTTTTTTCTTCCTGGTTTGTGTTTTTCAGAAACCTGATGACTCCCTTAGTTTTTATTTGCTTATAATGCATTTTCTTGTACAGTTTTTCTTCTTGGTTTATGCTTTTCAGAATGAAATAAAGGGTCTAACCGACTGACTGTGATTGTGGCTTTTTTTTTGTGGTAATCTTTTTGACTTGCTTAACTGTTGTTGCCTCTTTTAATAATGAGAGTTTGTGACTTTTCGTTGTTTCAAGGTTTGTGTTGTTCAGAAGTAGGAGGGTAGTTGCATGAATATTCAGAAAGTGACGCATGAGTATGCACATGTTGCATGAGTATTCAGAATCAGCTGCATGGAAATTCCCCATAGCCCATCTTGTCCCATAACTATTCCCTATAGCAAGAGATTTGTTTTTGTAAAGTGTTTTACGGCGCTCGCAACTGCATAAGGTCATATGAGCGCGCCGGACGCACCTAATATTTTCAGTTGGTAGGAAATTTTGAATTTTGTCCGGGTGGCGGCCGAAGCCTACTCTTATCGATTTTAGACCACCAAGGGATCTTTAACGTGCGCAACTTGCACACGGGCCCTCC